AAACTAGATTCCATACGCTCAGAATGAAACGGTTGAAACGTGTGTGTGGCTTTCCTGGCGGAGTGGGTTGCGTCGGCTCCTCCACCCCCCCCCCCCCCCTCTTATCAGATTGTCTTATGAAAAACATCAAGTCAGGGCGATGGTTGAACTCTGATTTGGCGTTCAGACGCATGAATGGCGTGCCTCTGCTCATTCGTAAGACGCCGAAAATATTGACAAGCGCTAATTTTAAACGCGAATCATAATGCCAAATAACATGCTCCAATGTCAAAGGATGGACGAGACGTTGGCGGAATCTTGGCCCTAGCCAATTCTTTAGCCCCAAAACTACACCTGCCAAGCTAGCAGCATATTTGTACCGAACCATCCAATCGATATTACGGGCTGTCACAATTCAGCTAAAAAACGGCAGACTGATAAAAGGTAAGTCCATGCATCTCAAACTACGAAAAGCCAAGTTGGACGACAAAACGTTGCGAGATATATGCCCAAACTCAATGTTTTAAGAAGTTTGGGCACTGGTCTATGAGTACACATTTCGAGCTCTATCAAAATTGTTCGCTCTGACTGATCTTGAACTTCAACCTCATATTCTTCAGGCAGTTGTGAATGGCCACCTTTTCAAAACATTTTCAGGTTCTGAAACGCGTAGGCTTAACGTTATTAGCCTATCAATTTTTAGCCGGATCGGACAGCCCTGAATATCGATGTACAACTTGATATAAAACTGTTGCTAGTTTGACGGGCGTCCCAAAAACTTGACTTAGGGTGAGTCCAATCATGCCAGAGCGCCTACGTTCTTGGCGCGCTGCCAGGCCATGCCTCTAGTGGGGCAAATCCAAGTACAATACTACCGAACGGTTATTAGGGATGCTCATGCTATCATCGAAAACTCACCACAGATTTCGACGTTTGCATGGTTGTTTGTAGGTATAGATGAGCTCAAGCTACCACATGCGGCTAAAATGTATTGTAAAAAACGACGTTTGATCACCATCTTAAAAAATGGATTTTTTTCAGAATGTGCTGCAGTGAATTCTAGAATTTGGTTAAGTGGGGCTCGAAAAGCACACGCGCCCGGGTGGCCGGTTAGATACACTTCGTTCCGGTGGGGGTGTCAATTTGACCCCCTGAGATCTCAGAAACTCAGGGAGCTAGAAACACCAAATTCACAGGGCGTGTTGACCTGTACGTGAACTCACTAAGGTCAGAGTTTGATACTCCTTGGTCATGACCTTCGGGTCAAGTAAGGTCAAATTAGGTCAAATTCCAGGTTGTCTCCAAAGGGCCCATGGAACATAGATGGCTGCTCTAAGCAAAAGGTCACATTCTCATCTGAGGTCGGTGACCTCGTTTGACCTTTTGAAGGTCATGGTGACCAGGACCACTTTGAGTTTTGCGTTTGGATAAACGATACAGATTACGCAGGATAGTATGTTCCCAAAAACAAAATGTTGACATGGGTGATTCCAAGTCGGCGACCTATTCTGACCTTTAAGAAGTCTATGGCAGGTGCATGATGCGGTTTCTGTTATCAATAAATCCGAAATGAACACCAGAAACTACCCCACACAGCAAGCCGTAGGGTAAAAAATAAATAAATAAAGCCTAGGCAGATGTGTTGATTTTGACCTTGGTCTGACCTTTATAACTGACCTTAGGTCAATTTTACTAGTTAATTCAGTTGTTGGGTTTCCTAATTAAGTACCTCAGATATGTGTGGCTTCGTCCAACACTCCGTTGTTGGATCGGATTTGAACGATTCCCTAAAAATTGTCTTCGCTGAAACCATGGCCTGACTTTGACCTGCCATAGGTCAGCGACCTTACGAGGTACATCAAAATTTTTAGGCCAAACGATCCGCCACTTAATTGTCTACAGTATGCAAAATTTCGCGGGGCTACGTCAGGCGCACCGTTTGGAAACCACTCTAGAAAAGCTTCGGGGGGGGGAGTCAATTTGACCCCCTCCCGCCCGAGCGCGTGTTACTGTGTATCCATATAACCAGCAGTGGCAGTCTTCGGGCCGGCCGAACTAGCTACTCACTATTCCGCAGGTTGGATGGAGGGGGGGGGGGGGCTAATCAGGTTCCACGTCCCGACGCCCTTCCTGGAGCTGGTGAGCGCATACCTTGGACGCGTGGTTCTGATGCGTAGAAGGCAGGTGACGCCTTCCCGACTTTATCGTGCTACTATATTTGGTCTGGACTCAAAGGCTCCGGCGCATCTCTGTGTGCCTCGATGCGGACAGCATGACGCCTTGCGCGTCCACTGCTACGACCCCTTTTGGTATTATTGCCGCTTTCCTACGCCTGCACTATTTGGTAAATAAAGTATTCTCTCGTGTCGTGTTGTATATCTGTGTCGTATTTATATTTACCATGTGCTTTACATCCGGTACATCACAACATATGCACTGAATTAGTAGGTTCCTCGGGGTTGCTATCTTTCTGCATATGTCCTGCATCTCATACATGGGCGGAATTATCGTTTTTCGGGGACAAATAATTCTTCCACCAACCTGCCCACATAATGTCGATGGCAGAGTTCGAAACTGTCGCATATCGATGTCACGTGTTCAATATTCAGCCAATTTCGGAGGGTTAAAAGCGTCGATCATGCTCAAACGACCGTCAAATTTTCAGTCTAGCGTCAAACTTAGCAGATTGACACATGTAGGTGACCAAGACAGTGACCGAACATCATATGGCGTTTAAACAAGAATGGCAGGCAATTGACCCGAGAATATGCCTTGGTGACCGAAAAAGGAAAGGTATTTGCATGCAAGATGTTAAGATACTTCGAACTCAGTTAGCTTGCATTCCAACACGCAGAACGCCTCGAGAAGCAAAATGTAAGCATCTAGGACAACTGGATGAGCATCATCAGCCCCAAAAATAGCACTAGCGCCATCTATAAACCAGGTGTCTTATACCAGTGGCGCCACCTAGGTTAGCGTTGCAACGCCTGTGCAAAATGGCTCGCAATATAAAGCTAAGGGATTGAGCTTTAAAAGCACACCTGACCTACAAGAGAACACATGTTTTGCCTCATGTTAAAGGTGTTTCAGCCGTCTGCACCCCCTCAATGTGCCGAAAGGCTGCCTCTAAAAAGACCCTTTCCTACAGGCTTACAACGTTGTGGCTTGTCCAGGCGCCCCGCGGTGACGTCACGGCGGGGTTTTCAGATAAACTTTAAGGGGTTCCGCTACAAGGTACATTATATCAGCGCTGACATTACAGATCAGCGGTGACTCAGGGCACTTCAGATGCTCCTCGGATCAGCGTTTTGCACACATTGTTTTGGCCAAGTCACCTGACGTACCAAACAACATGAAATGTCAAATAACTAGGCTTTTCTCTAGTCCTAAAAGTTTGGCTGTTCACAGCCTCTTAGGACGAGCGAGATCAGCTTGCTAAGCTGCGTTTGAAAGCGTTGTTTCATTTGAGACAGATGGGTTCGGGTGCTCGCCACGGTAATGAATTGGGTTCAGTGCATGTTAAGTAGAAGGATGCAGGCTGCTCTTAGTCCTTGCTGGCAAGCATTCAGCGGCTTGATGGCCAGCAAGTGATACTTGAGCGCAAATCAACTTCTGAAACAATAATGTTTCATGGTTATGCCGCATTGCATTTTATCTGTCTTTTTGTGGTATATCGCGTCAAGAGTTATATTGCAACGGTTTCTGACAGATCTGGCCTCAGGTGACAGCTAAAACGGTTCCGAATTTCGTCGGTGACAGAAGGGCACTTTTTCACCCTCGTCAAAACACGTGCAGGTCAATGGCTCGACCACGTGTCGTCCTTGCTATATGCTGTAGGAATGGAGCACGTTTGGGCAGGGCGGGGGGCGGAAGGACTTCTTCGCTTATTAAGACGGTGAGCAGTTATGTGAGCTCCCCGATCCTCCTGTGTTTTAACTGACTTTTTAGCTCTCTAAAACAAGAATGATTATAAATTAAATTAATCACCCACATGCCGCAGCAAGTACTAAACGAAATTGCTACGTGTTTAAAAGAAACATTTTCAGTGAATGCAAGAGAAGTCATGGTAACATGTTGTGCCATCATATGTGAGTATCTAACCAATGTTTACTTTGTAACGTCGTTTGAGCAGGTTTACGTTGCATTGGCTCTGGTTGCCAACTTAGAATTCATGAGGGTGGGTTCGTAAAGGTCCATATGAGCGTACGCATTTTTAATAAACTGTTTCAGAGAAAAGGTCCGCACTGCCGTCATACATATACATATAGACCCATCAGGCCAGTTAGTTTAGGGAATGGGACGGGGAGTGGATATCTCCAAAATACAGTTCCAAAAAACAAAATTGTGGCTGGGGCGTCAGGGTGGCATATTTCGCAATAGGTACCGTGACATGCGTCCTACATGTTTTACATGCCCCTAACCGGTGGTATCGATCTTCTAATGCTTGCTCTTATTATTAATGACTACAAGGAGTTGTCAATCAAAGGGACAATACCCAGAGGCAACAATACTCGGTTTGGTGCACATAATTATCAAGTACCTGTCTGCCCAGCCTGCCCCGGCCCCGGCCCCGCCGCCCGGCCCCGGTCCTACCCCGTCTTACATGTTTTACATGCCCCTGACCAGTGATATCGATCTTCTAATGTTTGTTTTATTATTAATGACTACATAGGAGTTGTCAATCAAAAGGGACAATACCCAGATGCAATAATACTCGGTTTGGTGCACATAATTATCCAGTACCAGTCTGCCAGCCTGCCCCGGCCCCGGTCCTAACCCCGGCCCCGGCCCCGGCCCCGGCCCCGGCCCCGGCCCCGGCCCCGGCCCCGGTCCCCCCCGGCCCCGGTCCTAACCGGCCTCGGCCCCGGCCCTGGCAACCCCGGCCCCGGCCCCGGCCCGGTCCCAACCCTGGCCCCGGTCCTAACCGCGCCTCGGCCCCGGCCCCGGCCCTAACCCCGGCCCCGGCTGGTCCTAACCCCCTCGGCCCCTGTCCCACGGCCGCCCGGGATGACGCCTCTCACCTTGGTGGCGCACTGCAGCGCCAGCTGACGCGCCGCGTTGCTCAGGTCCTCCTGCGCCTTGAAGTCCAGGTTAAGCCGCAGCATGGTGGTGTGCGACATGATGGTGGTGGCGACGGGCCCCGTGGCCTCCGTGGCCGTGAACAGCGTGTACCAGTTGTGCATGATGGTGATGAGCGCGTCGACGCCCACCTCGGTGGCGCAGGTCACTAGCCAGCGCACCATCTCACGGCGCCTCCAGTTCATCGAGGTCAGGGTCATGCGCATCACCTGGCGGCGGCGGCGGCAAGTTAGCGGGGCGTTGGGCGGCCGGCTCACGGCGGCTCTCTGCGCAGCCCCGTCCCAGCGGGGGTCACAACACGGCACATTCCACTATCCCCGCCAGTATCTGCAGTACTGCAGTACTCTGCAGTACTGCAGAAGAGGTCAGGTGTTCTGGGCAACAGCGCGGTGCCCGCCGCCTCACGAGGGCTCTGGGGCGGGCGGGCAGGCCCTCAGCACAACAGGGCCAGTCGGACTGCCCACCTGCAGACCGAGTTCCAGCGCCGCCGACAGCAGCATGGCCGGCCGCGGGCCGTCCACAGAGGTGGCGAAGCGGAAGGCGTCCTGCGCCAGCTTGAACAGGTGTGTGGAGCCGTGGATGTTGAGTTGCGCCGCCTCCAGCACCAGCCGCAGCCGGTACATGTCGTCTGCGGGGGGTGTCAGGCGTCACGCCTCAGATGTCAGGAAGTGACCGGTATCAAAACGATTCAATCGCACCACCCGCCCCGGCACACAAACATCGCCCAGCGCATTCGGTACATAGGTGGCGCTCATGGCGTGCAGCAGTCAGAGGCAGGGGGCAAGAGACTTCCGTTGATGAGAAACACCCACAGTCTTCCGCATGCCAGCAGCACGCGGAGTCCACGGTATCCGTGGGCGGTAGGCACTCTAAAATTCCAACGTCTTGGTGGTGACATAGGTACCACATACGTCACCTGGTTTTAAAGGTTCCTTGCTGTGCTAAAGAGCCCTTGGCAAGCCGACTCCAACTCATTACGTGTAAAAGGTTGATGCGCTCACTTGTCCGGGTGCCGGTCATGAACAATCTGAATCCTTTTCGAGATAGGAGCATTGGCGCAACCGGCACGGACATTTCGCATCTTACATCCAATCTCACAGCGGTCGACTATGACAATGCGCCAGACCGTAGAGCCGCCCAGTGGGGTCTTCCGCGCAGCCGAGCCGCAGTCTCAACGAGCCGCCGTGACGACGTTGCACGGCACAATTGTGTCAGGCTATCATCCTTCCCGGCTTTTCTGAGTATGTACGCTTTTCTATATGATTCTACGTGGATAGTAGGATTACAGGTGCGCAGTCGTGGGAGGCACGGCGGCTAAGTCCGGCAGACACGCTGGGCAGTGGATCAACGCTGGACTACGTAAACACCTCCAACGCAGCTACATTCAGCTTTGCCATTCACTCATGAAGAGAGAAGTGTCAGCAGTCGGCAGTAGGTAACTAGGCGTCTGCAAGGTATACCAGACATAAATAAATACACAAAGTCATTCACTCATACCTTCAGAGCAAAGACACCGTGAAGCCCACATGTGTGAAAAGACGTATGAATGAGCCTTCCAGCGACTAACCATAGAACAAGTGCGAGCAGGCATGCCTCTCGCCACACGGAAGCATGACCGTGTTGGAGCAGGGGGCTGCGGCAATATAAAGCGCCAGGCGATGACGCGCAGAGACGATCCGAGACCTGAATGCGGAGCCGCGAAAACTGCGGGGGCCGGGGGGGGGGGGGGTCAAGACCAAAGCTCTGAAAATTGACATTGACTCTGGAAATTGACGTGGGCGTTGACTGAAAAGATATAATCAAAAGTGACCGGGATCATCACACCGGTGACCCGACACAAAACAGGAACAGCGTGACACAGTGATTTCTGCGCACTGGACGCGGCGAATCGTGGCTGCAGCGTTTTTGGTACGTGGCTGGCAGCGGAAACCGTTCCCCTCCCCGACCCCTCTCTAGAAGACACACATCTACCAGACGCGGGCTCCGTTAGAGCTCCGCTGACCACGCTCCGCTGGGCTCCGCTGGCCAAGCTCTGTTAGAGTTCCGCTGGCCATGCTCCGCTAGAGCTCCGCTGGCCATGCTCCGCTAGAGTTCCGCTGGCCATGCTCCGCTAGAGCTCCGCTGGCCATGCTCCGTTGGAGCTCCGCTGACCATGCTCCGCTAGAGCTCCGCTGACCATGCTCCGCTAGAGTTCCGCTGGCCATGCTCCGCTAGAGCTCCGCTGGCCATGCTCCGCTAGAGTTCCGCTGGCCATGCTCCGCTAGAGCTTCGCTGGTCATGCCCCGTTACAGCTCCGCTGGCCAAGCTCCGCTAGAGCTCCGCTGACCGTGCTCCGCCAGAGCTCCGCTGGCCATGCTCATTCAGAGCTCCGCTGACCAAGTTCCGCTAGAGCCCCGCTGGCCAAGCTCGGCTAAAGCTCCGCCGATCATGCTCCGTTGGAGCTCCGCTGGCCATGCTCCTTTAGAGCTCCGCTGGCCAGGCCCCGCTTGAGCTCCGCTGATCATGCTCCGTTGGAGCTCCGCTGGTCATGTTCCGTTAGAGCTCCGCTGATCATACTCCGTTAGAGCCACGCCCGGGCCGAGCCTGGTTTCGGCCGCCAGCCTCACCTTTGACAGCCGACAGCATGGTGGAGGCCAGCGCGCACTGCTGGCTCTCGATGCTGCCAAGCGTGAACCAGCGCGGGTAGCGGCGCAGCACCAGGTTGGAGACGGTGGCGTCGTCGGGGTCCTCGATCTCCTCCAGTATCGGCAGGCTGCCGGCAGGCGCCAGACGCGGGTCAGCACGGCGCCAGCACGGCGCTGGGCACGTGCAGACCACAGCCAGACGGCGGGCGCGCCAGGTGCGAGCAAGAGCACGTGAAGTTCGCCCGCACATGAACGCCATATGACGTCTCTGTTGTTAAGAGTGAAGTGTGACGTCAACATGGTGCTCCAAAATGAAGTCATGAACGCCTGAGAGTCATGCGAAGTAACCGCAGGCTGAAACGGTAGGCTGGCTAACGGACGGAGGGCAGTCGTGCCCATGCAGACGCAACTTAAAAACTCACCGCAGTTTATCATTCGTTGACCAAGGGTGTGAAAAGGCGAAATGTCACGCAGACGTAAGCAGGCGGAAAACAACAAGCGAGCATAATGCGTATTGCACGGCAACAGATGTCTGCGCGGGCGTACAAGTGACAGTGCACGTTTGTCATCAGCGTGTGGACAGCATTAAGCAAACAGGAGGCAATGCAATCGTTCGGGATCGGACAATGAGCAGAAAAAAACTTGGGCGCATGTCGACGCAATTGACAGCAGCCGGCGGCGCACGGCGCCATGTGTCACTTCGCGAGTCGATAAGTGGCAAGTGTAGTTCGGTGGCTGGCCGCCGGGCGGCACCACTGACCGCATGGCGCGCAGGCCGACCCGCTGCGCGAGGTCGACGTCGTGCGGCAGCAGCGTGGTGAACAGGTACTTGGCGAACGTGTGTAGCGGCACCGACTCCGGGTGTATGCCCTGACCGAGGCCTGAAGTGGGCCCGCCCTCTAGCAGCAGCAGCGTCTGGCACCGCAGCACCTGAAGCGCCGATACGGGTCAGGCCACAGAGCGCAGGTCACGACACTGGGCAGGTCACCGAGCGCAGGCCAGGATACGGGCCAAGCCACCGATCGCAGGTCAGGACACGGGTCAGGCCACCAAGAGCTGCCCAGGACAGGGGGCAGGTCACCGAGCGCTGGTCAGGACACGGAACAGGCCACCGAGCGTAGGTCAGGAAACGGGCTGGGCAAACCGAGCGCTGGTCATGACACGAGGCAGGCCACGGAGCGCTGGTCATGACACGGGGCAGGTCACTGGGCGCAAGTCAGGACACGGGGCAGGCCACGGAGCGCAGGTCATGACGCGGGGCAGGCCACGGAGCGCTGGTCAGGACACGGCACAGGCCACCGAACGCTGGTCAGGACACGGCACAGGCCACCGAACGCTGGTCAGGACGGAATCGTCGCCAGATCACAGCTGTTCAGACCGCCAGATACAGCTCAGCAGTTCCCGGATGGAACGTTGCGTCGCGTTTCTTCGCGCCATGCCTCCTAGCACGCCAAGCCTACCGTCATATGTGTACAGCCTCGTCATGCGCTTCTCGTCGGTAAAGTATATATATACGCACGCCAATCTACACCCACGCAACCTTCGCAGGTCAATGTCGCAAATCAAAACGTAAAATTCGCTGTACTTCACATACGCAATTCCGCAGTTCACATTTCGCTGAGCGTCATTTCTTTGTATCCTATATCGCCGCATGCGCAATCACTCGTTGACACAATTCCTGGTCTAATTTATTCGTGTTCGCATTGTCTTTATAACCCTCCGTTCGGCTAGAGCGCTACGCCCGGCCAACGATGGGCTCAGACACAGGTTTTGAATTTCCAAACCAGGACAGCAGAATGAAATAGCTTCTTCGCGTCCATTGTCCATTCATTGTAATCAACGGACACGTATAGAGGGACAGCTTCAGCGAAGACAGGTCCGTCTGCGCACTCTCGTTAGTGACAGCGCCACTTCGGACCCCTCCCACCTGACCACGCCGAGCACAGGCCCGCCGATGGTCCACGTACCGCCACAAGCAGGCCGTCGGCCTCGATCTCGGTCAGCTTGGCGATGAGCCGATCCTCCTGCTTGCAGGCCTTCTCCTGGGCGTACAGGCCGACGGGCATGATGCGCTGCTGTCCGAGCGACAGCAGCGCCACCTCGGCCGCCAGCGTCAGCAGAGTCTCGGCGCGGTCGCGCGAGCCCGGCACCGGCACGTGGTGATAGCGTGGTGGCGTCACGTTGCTGCCGTCGTCGCTGGAGCCGGCCGGCTCTGCGGACGGCGAGCGGCCAGGGCGTCAGGCGAGAGCGCCGGGTGAGAACGGCCAGTGAGAACGCCAGTCCGGGCGTCGCACTGCGGTACCGGGCCCCCGGATGCCAAAGGGGAGAGGCTAGCACGGGGCAGGCAGACGGCGGTGGTCCCTCAGCTGGACACGGCTACGCGCAAGGAAGCCGTTTTCATTGTTGCGGCACATATAGTGTTGGGAGAAAAACATGCTACCCGCGACACTCTACAGACCGCAGTTTAGGCACCGAAATATCGTGTCAGTAACGTTATCAAACCTTCCTCAAGCACGCCTCACCATGTCTTACTAAGCAAAATGGTGTGACACATACACTGCAAAGGTAAAAATAGCGAGTTCAGCATAACGCAGGATGCTGATAACGTTCATATAACGCAGGTAGGCTCAAATGGCCTGCTCCTCCACACAACTGAAAGGGGTACACGCCACGACCACAGCACTGTATGGTCACCCTAGACCCCATCCCACACAGCAGACGACGCACCGTGCACCCGCCCACCTGCCCCTACCGCACAGCGTAATCAGCCGCCGCAACGCGGGAGGCACGCACCTGAGAAGTAGCAGCACTTGCCGAGCGCGTCCGGCAGCACGGACGCTTCTGCCAGCGTGTCGAACAGGGCGCCGACCGGGTCCAGCGGGTGTCCGATCCAGCCCTCCTGGCACGCGTGCGTCGGACTCTGCGAGACGCCCGAGTAGCTGCAGCGCGCCAGCACGCGGCTCTTCTCCTCCTCCCAGCGGCGCTGCGCCTGCAGCTGAGGCATGCGCCGGGCGCCCGTCAGACGGAGCTGCCCTCGCGCGGCCGCTGCACACACTACAGCTTTGGGAAACGGCCGTTGTGCCCACCAGAGCGTTTGGAAAAACGGCGATAACGCATGTGACGTTTTTAGGCAACGTCAGCTGTGCATACTTCACGAAACGTCTGCTTCATGCATCGGGCCATCGCGAAATACATACTACAGCTGTGACCACAAATATGGTTACAAGCACCAGAGTGGCTATCATTGGAACATCCCTATGCTATACGTGGTTAACGCTCATCAATTTACTCCAAATCATGCCACCAGACTTTAAGCGTGGCAGGATACAGGGCAAATTGGCTGAGGTTTCGGCTCAGTAGGCGGCTACAGTCCCTAATTATCTACTCAGCGCCGCGTAAATTAAGGTGATTGGCCCATCCATGCCAATGAGGCAGGTCAAAACCTAGGTTTGTGCAAGTTTTGGGACAATCTTGGTCATAATAACAAGTTGAGCGTTCCCTCCCTTCCCGTGATTCGAAGGCACAATGTCCCTGTTATCAGGTGTAACTTGTCACCCAAGTGAACGGTGGAATGACGACAAAAAGCGGTCAAGGGTCACGGCGACCTTGCCTCTCCGGCGGCGGGGTTTGTGTGTGCGGCGGCAGGACCAGCCTCTAGCGCGCTCACCTGGGAGAGTTTCAGGGTGCGTACGATCGAGGTGGCCAGCCGGAGTGCTTCCCTCGTGTAGCCGTGAGAGCGCAGGGCATTGACCCTAGCGCAGGCCGTGGGCAGGTGCTCTGGAACAGACCGGTGCAGGCGTTCACAAGTGCTCAAGGCGTCTCGCTCGCGCCCGAGGCGTCTAACTCGCGCCCAAGGCGTCTCACTCGCGCCCAAGGCGTCTCACTCGCGCTCAAGGCGTCTCACCCGCACTCGAGGCGTCTTACTCGCGCTCGAGGCGTCGCCGATAGCTATGTTTTGCTGTTTCTCCACGCATGTAACTGTTAAGATCATTGGCATTGCCCAGAGACGTCACGTGCCCACATGACGTCACGGCCATCCCGACGAGACCACTGACCAGACAAGCCGCTGCAGAGGCGGTAAGCGATCGCCACGCGGTTGATGGGCAGTTCAGAACGGGTAGTAAAGTGACAGGTGAAATCGACATCCCGTCAGGACACGGACGGGACGCTCTTGGTTCCACTGACAAGCCAAGAGGAGGAGAGGGGGGGGGGGGGGAAGAAATCTTGCCGGTGAATGGCTTTGTATTCGACATCAAGTGAGGGAAACTTTCGTTAGGCAACGATGTTCTGATACGCACAGAGAAAGACACCCCACATGAACACCGAATGATATTGATTTAAAATCTACTAGCCAGGCTTAAAAATATGTGACTGGTCAAAAAATACCCCTTTACCAGGAGCAACAAGGTAGCCATAATTCCGAAAGAGAAAGCTTGATCAAAATTCATCCGATTACCAGTCATACTGTCGCCTCTTCACTTTCAAAGGCCTGTTATGAAAAACCACCGTCGCACGCTCGCGTCCAGAGGGCCCACGCTGATCGCAACAGCTCGCAGAATAGTTGTGAGGCAAACGACGAAACTGATGCCTAGAATAAGAATATCAAGTGCATGAGAAGATCATGCGGCAGGTGACTTTTTAATCCACAACCGATTCATCAGCAGTTGCTACTCTAAGTGGTAGTTAACTCATCGCATGCCGCTTTATGGTCCTGATCACCTCCAACAAAACAGTACCTGTCCCTGCCACACTTGGTCCGCGTTACTTAATAAACATCGACGTACACGATATTTTGATCAAAAACCAACGTGCCCCAGCTCGCCACAGCGGCTGTCCCTAAAGCGTGACCCACCTCGCCAACGCGGCTGCCCTTACAGTGTGACCCAGCGGCTGTCCCTACAGCGTCACCCACCGCGCCACAGCGGCTGTCCCTTCAGCGTGACCCACCTCGCCATAACGGCTGTCCCTACAGCGTGACCCACCGCGACACAGCGGCTGCTCCTACATCGTGACCCACCTCGCCACAGCGGCTGTCCCTGGGCGTCGTAGTTGGCGGAGTGGCACTGGCGCGGTGGCGGTGGCGCGTCGTGCGCCAAGATCTGCCGCAGATGCTCGTTGTCCCAGGTCAGGTAGGTGCCGTCGATGGCTCTGCGGGGACCAAGGACGTGCTGATGCACGTGCTGAGACCGCGCCACCACGGCAAACACCGGCACACGGGCGCAAAGATGCACATTCGGAACGTTATGCCGTGGTCTAACTGGTTTCCGCACATACACCTACCTGTCATGAGGTCTGTGCGGAGACCAAAAATGACAAAAAAGAAAATGTGAAAAACGGATTATGCGAGAGATTACGGGTGCAGTTGGATGACCGCAGTAAAAAGGCCACAGGTGGCCGTTACGCGACACCGGCCAACATAACTGCGGCCTTATTACAACACGTCGTCACGCTGGTCCGCACCAATCTCTGAAAGCAACGCCGATGACTAAGGGGCAATGTTCGTAAGTCGGGCGTAAGTCGGGCGATGACGAGGGCTCAGCCTAGCGGCATTTGAGCTCGCGTGTGGCGGATCCATGACTGCCGCGCCCGTTAATCAGGGCTCTAGTTGCAGCTGAGCACGCCGCCGCCGCTGAGCCGGCGCGAGCCACGAACCCACACTCCCAAACAGCCTGGTGCCTCTCGCTCTCGCTCACTCTGGCTCTCTGGCTTCGGCTCTCTGGCTCTCTGGCTCTCTGGCTCTCTCTCCTCTCTCTCTCTCCTCTCTCTCTCTCTCTCTCTCTCTCTCTCTCTCTCTCTCTCTCTTCTCTCTCTCTCTCTCTCTCTCTCTCTCTCTCTCTCTCTCTCTCTCTCTCTCTCTCTCTCTCTCTCTCGTCTCTCTCTCTCTCGCTCTCTCGCTCCGAGGC